GGATTCCCTGACTTCAGGCTCTTTTCTCAATTTTCCCCATCTTCTTCTACCCCCACCATCTTTTTTTGACCCTCCAGTTTTGGGAGATCATTTTCTGCTTCTCACTCAATGGCTAAATTCATACTTAGCCAAATTCTCTTCAACTACATTGGTTAACTAAGGGCAAAATTGAACCAGGATAGGAGTTTTTGTGGAGAATTTAAACTGATATTGAAGAAAACTGGGTGGTTATCTGCATACTTTTTTCAGCAGCAAATACAATAATCATTGAGAGTTGTATAAAACAGGTTGGGACATTAAGTATTAAGTCTTTAAAGATGTTCTTCTGTATAGCAGAGACAAGGTGGGTGATGGAATCTAGCTTATAAATGAGCTTTCATTGATCTTGTTATTTTTAAGACACTATCTACGTTCTGTTAGGATGAAATTCACCCACTGGTGTTGATGCCAAAGCAGCTTCCAGTGCAGCAGCACTATGTTTGGTCCTGCTGCTGAGCGATGGCAAAGTGGGACACCAGAGACTTTCTACTCCCGGGAAGCTATGGAGCTGAGCTCCATGCCAGCTCCCCATAGTCCAGAACAGGGTTTTTTAGGGTGTGTAGCAAAAAGGGGGCTGGGCTTACTTTGCCCCTGTGTCTAGAAACATCTATGTAGCAGGTCCAACCAATCACAGCCTCTGCCTCACATAGGCTGCAGAGGTGATCTGCACTCCTGTGGCGAGCGAGGAGTGAGAGAATTCTCTCCCCATTACACACAAAACTTATTTACTTGAGCTTTGTGGAGCTGAGAGGGAAGGGAGTTAATTCCCCCTTAATCACTTTGGTCTTTTAAACAGCTAAGTCATTAATTTTTTTCATTGTGAAAAAAAAAAGAGACAAGAAAAAAGTTTTGTGTACAACTGGTATCTGTAGAAATGCTGGGAAAGTCCCTGTTACCTGGTGATCGTATGGCGGGGGATTTTAAATCATCCCACTGACAAGAGTTTCTTTTGAAACGCCTTTTCTATGTAAATACATTTCCTGACTCCAACACAGAATTTCATTTTTTGTTGACTTTGTTAAAACAGCTTTTGTTTGAATCCTGTCTCTTTCACTTGGCAATGACAAAAAACTAGAGTCTGAGGGATTTAGTTTTTGCCCTCTTTTGGTTCTTTGGGATGGCCACTCCTCAGCCATCTTGATGCGGACCCTCTGACCTCAGTTGATCGCCATCCCCCCAATCCAAGGCTTAAAATGGGCTCAAAGGCTCAGCCTAAACTGAAAGAGAGATCTCTGAGATGGGTCTGTCACTGCATGTTATGATCGCCTTCTGCAATCCATGTCGGCAGACCCTTATGTCCTGGGGCTCTTTATGGGTATAAGGGTCTGCCCATGACAATCTGACAGCAAGATCAGGTCTGTGGTGTATTAAACATGCTGCCAAAACCCTAAGATTTTGTTACAGGGTAGTGGGATTCTGTTGCTGGGCAGTGCCTAACCCAGACTCCCCACTCCTCAGGCTGTCCACTTGCAGATTGCCTGTAGAGACACCATGACACAGCAAAGACTCCTTCCAGCCAGCCATCTCCAGGACAGAACAAATGTAGGAGATAGGGCAGTAAAGAATATCAGCAAACAAAACCTATAAGAATTAGAAAGAACTAGCTAAGCAATGGACAAACATTAACCGATTAATCATCAGGGCTCATTCCTCAGCTGGTATAAATTAGCTTGATTTCAATGGAAGTTATGCTAATTTACACCAGTTGAGGATTTGGCCAACCCTTAATCTTGTCCCTTTCCTCATGAAACACCACTCTAGTCAAACAGGATGAGGCTTCAGTCCTCTGCAGGAATATCCTCAAATCCCAGCCCTGATCACATATGATGTCCCATGTTCCCCTCATCTCCTTTCATGTATGTTGAAAGTGGGAGCAAAGTTTCATTCAGAATTTACAGAGGGCTAGATTGACAAGATGCCCATACAAGGGAGTAAGAAGCCTCCTTGTACCACTGCATGGGCTACACCCTTGTGTCCACATGAGCAGTGATAAGCAAGCATTGTGCACCTGTTTACTCTCCTTCATTCCTTCAGAGCCAGTGGGTGGGAAGTAGGCAGAGAGAATTGAGGAATGTGCAGAAGTTTGGCTCTGCTCCTGTAACACGCTGGCCAGCACAGCTGAGCTGGTGCAAGAAAGGGTTTGTATAGATCAGTAAATGACCAACAACAACCTTACCCACACACCTTACCCTTATCTTCACCCACAGCAAGGAGGAGGCAGGATGGGAATTGTGCCTTAGAGGGGTGTCTGACGTGCAGTGCCTCCTGGAATAGTGCTGGTTATTCACCACTACCTTGCTCAGGGCTGTGCCTAAAATCAACAATCTAGCCCTTGCCCTTCATTCCCCAAAGCAAATGATACAGATTACTGCTATAGTAGAACATTCTTTCTTTTTAGGTTATGTACATAGTGAATTTGAGTCCATGGTGATGTTAGAGTCTTCACTGGTGAATGGAAGCACAACTCCTTGAACTTGTCACAATCTTTTCAGCACACTTCAAAGGGACATTAGGAGATAAAGCACATGTGGCAGCTGTGGGAAGTTTATTTTACCCCATATAGCAGGTACATTACTTAGCATTCAGCTGATTAACTCTGAAGCCTTGTTTCAACACTGAGGGCTGGACTACCCTTGCGCTTAAGTCGATGTAACTTACTGCATTCCCGGGTGTGAAAAAGACACCCCCTGAGCGACATAAGTTACGTCGACCTAAGCTCTGTCCACACTGGCGCTATATCAGTGGGAGATGCTCTCCCGCCGACACAGCTTCCGCCTCTCACGGAGGTAGAGTTATTAAGCTGATGGGAGAGCGCTCTCCAGTCGGCATAGCGCATCTTCACCAGATGTGCTACAGCAGTGCAGCTGCGCCGGTGTAGCGCTTGAGTGTAGACTTGCCCAGTGTGATGAAAGCCAAAAGCTTCTCTGCTAAGGGTAAGGTAACCCTTCACTCCCCGTTCAATTGACTGCAAAAGTCCTGTGCCTTTTACATCAGTACAATTTCTCCCTGGAAACACAACACTAGGGGAAGCACAATGTTTAATAACAAGCAGCCAGTCCCAGTGATTAAAATGATTTGTATTTCTCTTGAAAGTCCGTCTTTCTCTCATACTATGCTGCCTTGCAACTGCAGACAGCGTAAGCAATGAAAAACACCCTCCAGCTATCCATGCCTCATCCAAAAACACCAAGGGATTTTTTTGTACATTTTTTTGTTTTTTATATGTAGTACTACCGCTAAGAATTCAGCTGTGCAGTCACGCAGATGTGACAAGAGACGACGAGTCTCTGCACTCTTCCATCCCGCATCCTCACCCTGTTGACAGACAATGGAACAACTGGTTTAAGAACTAATGAGATGTTTTAAGAATTGTGAAGCTGATTGTGCCAGGCAAAGAAAAAGCAAGGATAGGAAAAATACTTAATAGAAACAAAGCCAGAGGAGAGTGAAAACTAAATTAGAAAGCTGGAGAAGGGGAAACACTGCAAAAGAGACGAAGTATTTGGTTCAGGAAAAGCGTGAGAAATTGTACTGTACTAATGATAATAAAAATATGAAGAAACACTAAGGTAAACAAATATTACAGAAAAAAAGGCAAAAGCACAAAAGAATATTATTGGGAAAGGCACTGCTTCAGGGAAGTGGTACAAGCTTTCCAGTTTGCCAAAGATAGCATAAACTTTATTAATATTTGGTCCCCTTTGGCCTGATTCTCATCTCACAATAGTTCTAAACCAGTATAACTCCATTAAAGATAGTGATTCTGCCCCTGGTTTACATTAGTGTGAATAAGAGGAAAATTGGGCTCCTTGTCTTGGGATGAAAGCTGCTTCTTCCATGTGTTATTGGAATGAAAATTGTTCAAAGAGATTGGCTAAAATGAGAACAGATTTAAGTCTGTTGGTATATACTGTACGGTATATACTGTACGGGGGAAGGCTTTTCTGCTTACATAGTTACTATGCTGTTATGTGATATATAGTTTTCTTGCTCAAATGCATGCTACATGCTGGATTGAAAATGGAAAACCTGATTTAAAAAAAAAATGCATCAAAAATATGCTGACAAGAAAACCATCTCAAACCAGATATGTTTTCATTTGAAGGTCAAATTGTTCCATTGCTACATATAAGTCATGGCTATATTTAATGGCACTAATGGATGCTGCATTGCATCATAAATCTACATGCATTAATATGTTTTATCGGATTCTTGTAATCAATGCAATCATATTTGTTTTTAAAGAGGGCGAAAAATCTACTACTACTGTAGAAGCCTCCATATTATCTAGACATACAAATAAGTTACTTAAGACGCCTTTTGATTTATACTGTAATCTTTGTCCTCCCACCCCATTTGCTCCTACCTTCTCATTAAACTTACTTGTGTGACTGGCCTGTTGTAAGACTGTAAGCTCTTTGGAGCAGGGACTGCATCATGCTCTGTGTGTTTGTATAGCACTTAACACAGCGGGACTCTGATAGGGGCCTTTAGGTGCTGCTGTGATGTGAATAAATGATAATAAATACCATATAAATGTATGCAGTACTTCCCTTTAAAGAAGTCATGCAATTGCATCAAGCTGGCTTATTCTCAAAAAACTCCAGCCATTGTTAACACCTTGTCAGCTGTATCAGCATTAGCATCATTGGGAGCCCTAACACGCATGGCTCACTGTGTACCAGCACTGTGTCATCTAACCCAGCTCAGAAAAAGTCTAAATGACACGGTGCTGAAAATGGTGTCGCCAGCAGGCAGGCTATCTACATAAGGGCTCCCATTGTGGTTAACACTGGTTTATAGCTGAATCAGTGTTAACAATGGTGGGAAATATGAGCAAAATCTCCTAAACCTGTACAAGGCCAGTCAGTGGACAATGAAATCAAGATTTTTATTATTTACATAGGGAAGACCCTAGATTTCTTTTAATTTTAACATTTACAATTTATTTATGTTTGCAGGGAAAATATCATGGTAATCCTATGCACATAGCAGTTATTATTTCAAACTGCTTAAGAGAAGAGAGAAGGATATTGGCTGCAGCCAGCATGCCTGTACAGGTAACGTATTACATTTTATTAATCTGCTTTGGCCAGGTTGATCACTTGTACTGAGGACCAAATTCAGTTCTCTTATGATGAAACCAACAGGAACAGGGAGGACAAGATCTGGACTTCTGTCTCCAAATCATGTAAACAGCATGTGCACGTTTGTGTGTGCAGAATCAGGACCTTACACATGAATTTAAGTAACTTCAGTATGTTACTGTTAATCTTAAGAAACTATAGGAATGCCTTGGGAGAGAAGACATTATTTCTGATCACAGGCCCTGACTTTCCAAAGTGCTGGGGGGTGTTTGACCCCTGCTCTGCCCCAGGCCCTGCCCCTCTCCACCCCTTTCCCCAAGGCCCCGCCGGGCCTCTTCCCACCGCACATCTTCCCACTCACGCTCTACCCCCACCCTTGAGTGTGCCGCATCCTCGCTCCTCCCCCTCCATCCCAGCCTCCTGCAAAATGCAAAACAGCTGTTTGTGGGAGGCGCTGATCCGCAGGGCCTGCCAGTGGGAGGGAGGCACTTGGGGGGGGGGAGGGGGAGAGCTAATGGGGGGCTGGCTACTGGTGGGTGCTCAGCACCCACCATTTTTTCCCCATGGGTGCCCTAGCCCCAGAGCACCCATGGAGTCGGCGCCTGTGTTTCTGAAGCATGGAGCAGTTTTTGACTTGTGTTGTAAGAGACAAGTTTCATTGTTAAGTTTTATCTTGTATTTATTATATAATACTTATGCTAATGATCATAGACTTTAAGGACAGAAGGGACCATTGTGATAATCTAGTTTGGCTTCCTGCACATTGCAGGCCACAGAACTTTACCGACACCTGAAATAGACCCCTAACCTCTGGCTGAGTTATTGAAGTCCTCAGATCATGTTTTAAAGACTTCAAGTTACAGAGAATTCACCATTTATACTAGTTTAAACCTGCAAGTGACCCGTGCCCAGTGCTGCAGAGGAAGGTGAAAACCCCCCCAGGTCTCGGCCAAACTGACCCAGGGGGAAATTCCTTTCCAACCCCAAATATGGCAATCAGTTAGACCCTGAGCATGTGGGCAAGACCCATCAGGCAAACATCTGGGAAAGAATTCTCCGTAGTAATTCAGAGCCCTCCCCATCTAGTGTCCTGTCTCCAGCAGTTTGGGATTTTTGCCACTGGGAGTCGCCGATGGTCCACATGCCATCATAGGCAGCCCCATTATACCATCCCCTCCATAAACTTATTAAAAGAAGTTAATATATTTTTAAAAACCACACAAGAAAATCCCAAACTGTACAATATGCATTTTGTGAAAACTGTTATATTGATGGAAAAATTCAGACAGATTCATTTAAGTTATGTTAATAAGTTAATAAGTGAATAGAATGTATGTGCTTACTGGGGTATTAAAATATTTTTTTCAGCAATATAACAATCTTCCTACAATATATTTTCATTTTGGATTTTCTTGTTTGTTAAACATATATTAAATTTTAAAATGTTTGCAACACTACCTTTATCCGTTCTGATCTCAAGATACAGTGGGTGTTGTTTTTCAGTCTGTGGAACTACAGTGATTTACACCAGCTGAAGATCTAGCCCTAAATTCCGTCTTCTGTGCTAGATGTTGGAGTGGAGTTATTTGTATGGAATGTTCTATGTAAGGCGAAATAGCTTTGCTGTTCAAGAGATCATAGATGGTCTACATACGACATATTTAATTTGTTCTAGGGACCACTGGAAAAACAATTGCAGAATTCCATAGTTTCAGAAAGACAAAGAAGTGTGGAGCACAAAGTGTCAGCCATTAAGAACAGTGCCCAGGTATGTTGTGTCTGTTACAGTCTGGGACAGTGTGCCAGGTTCTAGGACTCCGCACAGAGATACAGATTTATTACTGCAGATTCAGTGACACAGCCTGTTCAGCTGGGGCCTACTACTGTATCGCAGAAATCTCTCTCTACAGTAGAGGGAACTAAGGACAGAGAAAGAGGTCCTGCAGGGATAATACTAGAAACAACTAAGCTCAAGAAGAAGTTTGGCTTGAGGATTTGTTTTGTTGTTCTTTATATAAGAACAAAGGAAAAAAACAGAAAAGGGGAGAATTTGGGTGTCAAACCCAGGGAACGGGGCACTGGATCAGCACCTATATATTTAGGGTCCAGATAGCGTCACAGAGGAGAAGCAGCCTGCTCATAATGTTGGTTTGCATTGATCCTCTTCTGCAAACTCCTGCATGGAATCTGTTGCTGGGGCTTTTTGTGGGGAAGGTGAATTTCACTGAAAAGGAAAGGGTAAAGAAGAATAATGTATGCTTGAGTTGTGCATGAAAAACAGCCAAATGTGCATGCAACTGCACACCTTGCATTTTCATTTCCAAAGTTTAGTCCCCAACATAGAAAAAAAAAAAAAAACAGATGTGGCGGTCTGTGCACACATCTAGATTTGGAGACTGGATTTGTATAATCTTCTAAACATTTACTATGGTTTCCAGGTGTCCAATTTTCAACCAGAAAGTCTGGACACCAAAAGTCTGGTTACTGTAGGCAGGTGGGAGTGGGAAGGTGGGGGGGGAAGATGCCAGGTCATCAACCCGTGCCAGCCCCTGCTCAGCCGGGGCCACCTCCTACTTGCATGGGCTGCAGCTTCCATCCCAGCCCCGGAGCAGAGGGAGCCCAGCTGCGGTTGGGGTGGGGAGGGGAGGGAGGTGGAGAGCATCGAGTGATGGAGGGAGAGAAGCAAGTGTGAGGGGTGTGGCCTTAAGGGAAGGGAGGGGGTGTCTTAGGAGAAGAGCATGTTCATGAATCATCTTTTATGATGGATTACTTGGAGAAGTCTTTCCAAACCCTTTTAAATATTAAAGCATGAAAGTGAAACTCTGAAAAAGGCCAAAGCAGTCATTCACTTTCACTGCTTTGCACAAAGTTCATAAAGGTGTCTTTATCTAAAAATGAAGTCTGTGGCTACAGACCTGCAGAACTTATGTCATTCTGCTGGCCAGAACTTTTTCTGGAAATCTCCACTCCCTTCTTGTAGGCCCTGATCCAGCTCCCAGGGCAGTCAATGCAAAGTCTTCAATTGACTTAAATGGTGTGGGATCAGGCCTTCAGAGTAGTATGGCCCTGTTCTGAGATATTCATCTGTCACAGGAGAAGGTCTTTTGCACAAAGTATGACTCAGCTTGTTTCACCTCAGAGCAGTGGAGAATAACTTTAAATCTCCAAATAGGCCAAAGAATTATAAAAACAAATGAAAAATTGGAGCTTTCAGTTAAAAAAGGGAAATTATCCTGCTGTGGCAATACTCTGCAAACAGGTGTTTTTGTGTGCACACCAAGATGGTAGAAGTAAGTGTTTTGTTTAGGGGGTTTTTTTAAATTAGTTCTTGGGATTATACTTTTAAAGATAAATTCTTTTCTTGGATATCCACATTAAAAATCCCCATGCCATACTTTGAGTAGCTGTGTGTTCAAATCCACAAGCATAATTTAATTAATAATTTTCATAGTTAGTGTGAGTAATCAACTATTCTTCAAAGAATGACAATTTACAGTGCCAAACTACTAGATTTTAAAATGTGGGTGGGGGAGGGGCATCCTTGATTTGTTTAAGTGTCAAAGGGCAATTACTCTAATAGTTTACATAAATGTGTTTTAGTTAGGTTTATATTATTGATAAGCCGTCTTAACTAATTTTAGTCATTTCTACTTTCAAACAAATAAGGATTTGAATTATTATTTGGGGAGACTGGTTTAGATGAAAATAAATTATGTGGCCAGATACAGACAGGGTCTTGTTCTGCAGGCAAAACTTGAATCAATGTGGTTTTGCTACAGCAGAGTTCATGATTGGGCTGATTGTATCAATAAGAATATCAGTGTGTGAAAGAAGAGAATATATGACTTTCCTGGGATGCAATGAAGGGAACCCCTCTCTCCTTCTATAATATTATGGTCTGCAGCTGCACACAAAATTATCATTTTTTGGGAGATTAGTGAGTAGGAGATAAACAGTCCTGTCAAGTCTTTGACAGGGAAGGGAAATATTGAAATAAGTCAACTACAGGCTAGTTACAAAATAAAATAATGTTAATTAGGAACTGTCGGATATGGTGAACCCTCAAGTGCTATACTGAATCTTTTTTTCTTCTTAATTTATAAAAAGATGACAGAACAAGATGTCAAATACTTAGAAGATTTGCAAGAGGAGTTTGACTTCAGGTATAAAACAATACAGAGCCTAGGTAAGCTTTTTCATAATTATTTTAAGATGCTGTGAGAAAGTGTTGATTATAGGGCTAGATTCCAGTCACAGATATGTTTTGTGTATTACCTTCAAAGCATACGTAAGCACAAAAGCTGATATTTTGAGATATAAGCATGATGTGTATGCAAAACTGCTGTCTGTGCCATAATGCACACTTCTGGGGTTAAAAAAAGTAATAATATCCTCAGTGTACAGATGCAGTTATTTTCTGTAAATGAGCTATGAAGCAGTGTGATCAAGTCTTGGGAATTATGGTCTCCATAGTTTAGAGGACACTTTTTTCAAAACAATTTTTTCATGTTTAACATGGCCCTTCCTCTTACAGAGTGGAATGTATAGGTCCCCATGCTTACCCCCATAGTGGAGTTTTCTAAAACCAATTTATTAGCCACTAACTTGGCCTTCCAGTCTTTCTGACCAGAGTGGTGATGATCATCTGGTAAGCATTCCAAATGCAAGCTTGAGCAGCCTGCAGTGGTTCTGGGATCTGCAACCTGTCACACTGCAACAACTTCTTCATCACCCTTCTTCAGAAATGAAACTGGCACCCAGCTATGTCTGCACTGAGACCTTAATGGCACCTCCCTTTGAACATGTAGAGAAATCTGGGCCCCTAGGTGCCCCAAGTTCTTCAGCATGCCAGTCATATGAGACTGAGATTTAAGGTGTCAGAGCACAAATTTCTATGGAAGGCACATGCCAGGGCCCAGCACAGATATAGATGGCATTAAGTTCTTCTTTGAAAGTAGTTGGAGATGTAGAGAAACTGAGGGGTATAGAGCTGCAGAGGAAAAGGGAGTGGGTCACACTAGGAAGACGTGAAGCCAGTGGACGGCCAGTAGCAGGAAAGATCACGTCAAGATGAAAACACCTAGTGACCAGTACTCACAACTTCCAAAATTCTCATGGTTACGAGCACCATAAAATCCCCCATCCCAAATACCAAACTTTCTTGCACCTATCCCCCACCTGCAAATATTTCCTCAACCGGACACATCGTTCACGCTAAGATTCCAAAGAACTTTGCTATGATTACTGACAGCATCGGACACAATTTTATAATGGCTCATCACAGTTCAGTACTTGAATCCCATCCAAACCAGAATGATATAATAATGAAATAATAGTATACACAGACATAAGAATCTAATAATTTCTATGTTACTAGTACTCATTTCTTCCCTATACTCCTCCTGTTCCACACAAGAAAAAAAAAATCAAAATACCCAGCTCCTATAATAATTCTTAAATTCATATTAGAGTCAGTCTATGCAATTGAAATTATATTATATAAACTTTAATTACAAACATTCGTAGATTTTTTTACTAGCTACAAAGATATAATCTGTTGAGGGCTTCCCACCTCCTACCCCCATTATAAACACATACACTTACACGGAGGTTACCAGATGATTTTTTTTCTCTTCCCCCTGTAGAGCAGGGTGACAAAAACAGCGTCCTGATGAAACAGGAAATGATGATGTTGCAGGAAATGCTCAATACCTTAGACTACAAAAGAAAGGTTGGTAACATGTTTTGTCATTTGTGGTTCATTTGCTTTCTCCCCCTGCTCCCACACTGAATAATCACATTTAAGGAGGCATTTGCACAAACTCTCCCATCCAAAGGAGCAGGTAAACATAATTTTGTGTTACAAATACCAGGGGGATGATGGGGGAGTTTACTAGCAATTAAATAACTGGCAATTCTAAAGAGTACAACTATGGGCATGAGCCTGTTAGTTGGCAGGTGAGGATTAACCATCAGCTCACAGGAACTGTTCTGGATTCATCCTCTTTGTTTGCAAGTTACTGCATTTAAAGTCAGGAAAAAAACCACTCCGGATCAATGTAATCACATAACCACAAAACCAGACATCACACTATTGAGTGCAATTGCATGCCAACGGATGGTGGGGAAAGAACTTCTTCTATGTCTGTTTTTTTGCTGTTCACCTTGGAATAGCTTAAAAACTTCCATATAATTTCCACATATTCTTTTCATCATTAAAGAAAAGTCTATGTGGGGATACAGTCCAAGATCACAGAAAGGAGCTTGTGACCTTAACGGTGCTTCTACATGGCAAGATCCTGGAGGTGTCATGCCATAATAAATTCACTAAAAAAAAAGTTGTGTAGAAAGAATTCATTAATATTCAGGACTATTTTTAGTACAATGGCCAGAGAATCCAGTCACCTGAACCCAAGCAGTAGTGGTATAAGTATGGTCACTTTCTCAGAAATAAAAATTAATCCATAAGCATGAGAACATTATATATTTAAAGCCTTAAGTAATTTGAATATGGTGTTTCAAAGAGAAATGCTTAAAAACAAGGTGAATCCAAAACACTTAATTGCACATTAACATGTTGCACATTTTTCCTAACTCTAAGAATTTAAAATTTATGGCCAGCATAATAATTGGTTTTCATTTGTGAGCTTTATTGGTGTTCCCTGTGATCAGTTGGTGACACTTTTCCTATTCCTTGCAGGAAGTCCTTAGCAAAATGGCACAAGTAATAAATGAAAGTGATGTCTTGATGAACAACATGCTGCTTGAAGAGCTTCTAGATTGGAAGAGGCGCCAGCAAATTGCCTGCATTGGAGGTCCTCTACATAGTGGGCTTGATCAGCTCCAGAACTGGTAAACTTACCATTTACTTTAATTTTCCAGTGAAAACCACAGGAAGTCTGCTGCCTCATAGTAGCCCAACACATGTAAAAAGATAGAAGCTCTGATGGGACCCTGTCATATGTATGAATTAATTGAGTTTGCTGCTGATATGGTACTTAAGGAAGTAAGTAACTGAAATGCCATGGGCTTTGATAGGTGTAATCTGCTGTTAGAATGAATACAAAACAACAAGCTCTACATGGAGACTCATCACTTGCAGATTATTAAACAAAACAACAGCGAGAAGCCTCCCATATATCACATACACTTCCTCAAAGGAGTTTTGCTAAAAAGAAATAAATAGCTTGATTAAAACCACACATAAGTGTACAGATCTAGTCAAAAACCCACAGAGAAACAACGCTCTTATCTCATGGAGTCTGACTTCTCTGTGCGTATTAGAGTGGCACACTGAGCTCACTAAACTCGTCACTTGAGGACAGTGGGAGTTTTATCGGGTAAAGGCTTCCTGCTTTGACTCATTCAGTGCATCACTTCACCAGATTTGAAACAATAGGTCATTGCAACAAGTAGGAGTTTAATAGCGATCATAGCCTGTATTTGAGAGTACCACAAGGCTCAAAAGGAGGTGGTCGTGTCTAGATCCAAAGTTCAAATTGGAACATAAACATAATTAAATTTGACAGTTGTAACGGAGCCAGAGAACATTCTTGTTCCATTCTGTGCCTTCCCAACAATTTTTTTATGTCCCGTGAAGCTTTTGTCCCCCGTCCGCTGGAAGAGGCATAGTGAGGTCAGCAAGGAAAAAGGGAAAGAATGGTTGCAGGGGGGAACAAGCAAAAACAAAACCATTTTTCATTGTTGAAAACGTTTCAGTTTTTCATCAGAAAACCAATATCAAAATGAAAATTTGTATTTTGGTTGAAAAGCTTTTTTTTTTTTTTGGTTACCAAAATATGTTTTCAATAAAAATTTTTTCAACCAGCTCTACCTGATCTTTTTGTAAGGACCTATGTGAATTTGTGACAAAGATATAACAGGACAAATCTTGAAGTCCCTGCGATTTTTTATCCACTCCTCACACAGTTATGGGAAGGGAGACTTTTATAAAAGTCCAATATGGGATTTTAGCCACATGAATCCCATTAAAGTAAACTGTTAGCCAAGTGTGCTTGGATTGGATTTTCACAGTCATCTCCTCACCTCTCAGGGATATAAATGTTCTTCTCTTAAAGAGCATGTTTTGCAAAAATACTACTGAGCTTTGGCATTATTGTCCTGTAGTAGTGGTTGCATATATATTTCTCTTTAGCAAGTCACAGGCAGCTTCAAGTCGGTGTTCATGAGGTCTTTGGGAAAGGGCTAATTTCTAAAATGATAAAGGAAAAATTTGGCCAGTGGTTCACATGTATTCATTTAACTGGCTGGGGTTAGCTTGTATAAGGCTAGTAAATGCCAATCAATTCTAATTCTATGATTTTTCTGACAAGAACTTCAGTAACTTTTATGTTCTAATAAGCGATTTATATGAGAGAATTGTAACTTAATCATTTGTTCTGCAATAGTTTTACACTGCTGGCAGAGAGCCTATTTCAAGTAAGAAGGCAACTGGAAAAATTGGATGAGCTGTTGACTAAACTGACTTATGACGGAGATCCTATTCTACTGCAAAGGCCTCACCTGTTGGAAAGAGTCAACTTCTTGCTCTACCATCTTTTCCGAAGGTACGTGAGCTGTTATACGTTTGTGTGTCATTTAAGATGCAGGAATCTAAACCAAACACAATTTATCATCGAAAAAAAACAAACCTGAACACGTCTTGGTATTTAAGAGAGTATTTAACAGAGCTTGGTATTTAAAGGTGATGAGCCCCTATAACACTAACAGATGTTGGTAGGAACCTGGGGATAGGAGCTTCACAAATCAGGCCCTTAAAGTTTTGTGGTCAAGTTCTGCCTTTGGATAGACATGCATAACTCCCATTGATTTCAACAGGAATCATCCATGTGCCTCTGAACAATGCCTTGGGATGCCAATTTCTTCCATGCCTCTCATTCCCCACCATGAGTGCCACACTCACGCATCCCTTTTAGTTTCTTCCTTTTAAGTAAACCATATGTTGTTACTGTTCCATCCCTGGTGTTCTGCCTTTGCTGTGGATGTACCACGCGACTGCACTGCTAGTACATACGTAGGACTGGCTCTGTTGGAGAGCAAAATTTGGCCATTTGTCTTCAAAATATGACGGAAATGTGAAATGATTGTTGTATTTCATGTTTTAGACATTTTATTGGAATCAGTTTTGTAGCATGTTTTCCTTCCTCATTTGTGGTGTATCTTTCCTGTATCTTTTAGTGGAATAGGATACCTGTGTGCTATGTTGTGTTCTTCTATTATATTCACCTCGGCTATTTTTTAATGGGAATAACTTGCAAGAAATCTCTAGAAAGTGAGGTGTTGGACTGGGATGTACACCTGCCACTCCAATATGCATAGAAAAGTCACCCTCCATGATGTGAAAGCCTTTTGACTAGTTCTGTACATTTATGCGTGCTTTTAATCAAGCTGTTTCTTTTCCAACTAGTTCATTTGTGATTGAAAGGCAGCCCTGCATGCCCACCCATCCCCAGAGGCCAATGGTACTTAAAACCTTAATACAGTTCACTGTTAAACTAAGGTAAGTAAAGGAAAACTAGTGTTAATTCCTTTATTTCCATATTACATTATATCCTGGGAGAGCCAACATTTAACTCATTGGGCCAAATTCTGCTGACTATACTCAAGCAGAGATCCTATTGCCTTCAATGAGAATTTTCTTGAGTAAGGACATACATACACTGGTCCGAATTCTGCCACCTACAACTATACATGGAGTAAGATAGTGCTGCACGTGAGTGAAGGTGCCAGCTTCTCACTGTGAGTAAAGACCTCAGATTTTTTCCTGGTCACATTTTTAAAAAAATCCTGTATTGGATTCTTGCTTTAATGACATTACAGACAAAATAAGGCACAAAAATGAAGTGAATAATAATAACATATCACATCACACAAGCCAGCTCTGCAGTAGTTTCAAGGCTACTCTTGCACATAAGCAAGGCAAATTACTGCATTTTTGGAGGCTTGAGTCTTCAACAACTCAGAGCCTGAATTTGCTCCCCACTGGTTCCTTGCCTTCTCTGAAAATAGGACTGGATGGTGGAACTCGCAGCTGAATCCCATCCACCCGCAGTAAGAATAGAGGGAACAGGAGCATTCTTGTGGGGGGACAAGGGTATAGGAACCCCCATACTTACTATCCTCTTGATGTCTCTCAAAACAGCTGCAGGTCTTATGCATTCACATTTTATCTGTGCCATCCTAACTTTTGTCACATGCCAGCACTTATGATGAGGGAATGAGGGAGATAAGGTGGCAAGTCCCTCCCTCTTCAGCTTAAGCTTGGGACCCTGTAAATCATGATGCAGCTCTGGATACTTGGTCTGGTTTTCTTTAAAATGGGATTTTAGAGACCTTTGACTAGGGAACTACCGGCCTTTATTCTATAGTGACAAATAGCTTTACTATATAAAAGGGACAAGTCCTAGTTCTGATTATTCAGTTTTACACTTTTTATTTCCCAGGCTGCTAATTAAATTGCCAGAGCTGAACTACCAGATCAGAGTGAAAGCAACTATTGACAAGTAAGTGACTACATTATACCCCTAGGGCTCAAAGTCTGTGTTGCTGCTTTATGTGGTTTGAAAGTTGTTGTGTTTTTAAAATACAAGACCTATTCGAATATTAAGGAGGTTTATTATAGTCAATAACTGGTGAAAGATTTTATTTTATATTTAAAAAAAATCTTTTATATCGGATATTTTAAAATTCGAGTCAGCAGTTCCAATGAAGATTTGTATCAGGAGCTGTGTGAAACACAGTGGTTTTGGCTGGCAGCAGCAGCATATTCATTCAAACCATTTTTCAGCTTTGAGTCCTGTGGGATTGTGCCCCTTGAGTTCTGCATTTACACAGATCAAAAAAGTTAAAGGGAATGCCAACCAGTTTTGCTGAGTTTTGGGTGGAAAGCATATGTTAGCCCAAGTTCACTAAAAGGTTGTCATACCCAAGTGAACCTGGGTCGAGCTTTGGCTTTCATAACACATCTGTCTTTGCAATGCCCCTATGCTTTTGACGAAATCAGGCTGCATTAATTTGTAATCACAAAACAAATAACTGCTAAGATCCGGATCCTCGAAGAGAATGGGAGTTTCAGGTTTCTCACTGGCTGTTCTCAGCAGAACCTTAGGCGCTAGCCACATTTCAACTTCTGATTGAATGATTCTAACTTGTAACTAGTTAATAGCATAGCTAGCTCTAAAAGCTAATTTATGTCAGAACACCACACAGGCCCAGATCCTGCTAACATTTACATACCTGCTTAACTTCATTTCTGTGAATAGTTCCATTGATTTCAGTTGGACTACTCAGGGTAGTAAAGTTAAGCATGTTCTTGGAGGACTGGTGCTATAGTTAATAACTATGGAAGCTTAGAATGTTCCACCCCTGCCAGAGACTGAGCGTGGCACATGGCTGTCTTCCTGTAAGTGGTTCCTCTGAGGCCCCCCCCCCCCTTTTCTTTTTACAGTGTGATTTGGTTAGTCCTCCTTCTTCCCAGGTGTCTGGGCAGGAGGACATCTCAGAGTGCACTGCCCTACATATTGATGCTTTGTGCACGTCCTCCAGTCATTCTGTGCCCTGCTGTACAGATGCCTCTATTTTCCCAGAATGCATTGATGCAAACATAGTTAGGCAGAGTGGTAGCTTTGGATATGCACATATAGCTCTGATGGCTGAAAAAAGGCTGTGGAGGCACAAAGTGAATCATATTACCTTTTGCGAATACAGACTAACCCGGCTGTTACTCTGAAACCTGTCATATTACTTATAACTAGCTATGTGCCTGCCTGATTACAGAGCAAAAGTCACAGCTGCATTGATAATATGAATGGACCTTTAGAGGCCAAGGCATAATTTAATCTGCTCTTTTTTAAAAAAGGCGCTATTTAGTTTGAGTGCATACTATATATATATATACACACACACACACTGGGTTACAGGATATATTTTCTCTTTCTTTTTTTTAAGGAATGTGTCAACTGTAAGGTAAGGCTATAAAAGTTTGAGACTTCTTAACTTATCCCACATTATTTTATCTGCCATTGTGTACATTGTTGTAATGTGTTTTCTAGTAATCGCAGATTTGTTCTATGTGGCACTCATGTCAAAGCTATGAATATGGATGAATCTGCAAATGGAAGTCTGTCTGTAGAATTTAGACATTTGGTAAGTTTGCAAGGTACTGTTCTTGTCATGTGACATTGGTAGAGCAATCACAGAATTTTTTTTTTAACCTGAACAAGGAAAACTATATCATTCTTACAGCTGTCTTTCTTTCTCTCTGCTTCACTATAGAGCTTCTACCTAGAACCTTTCACAGCCCCATCATGCCCTGCTTTTTGCTGGAGTTTTAAAGAAACAGCACACATAGCCTCATAGTACTTGCTTTTACTCTCTTTATCAAATATATGCCATACAATGTTCACTGTTAATACTCCACACAAGATTAGGTACCATGTACTTTCTGCTCTACAAACCAATCTCCTTCCCATTCCCTCTGTGTCCAGTGGCTCTAGATTTTTAATCTGACTTCATATGATTTGTAGCGTTTGAGTTTCCATATTTGCTACTGATAATTATTTTGGATATTTTCTTGAATGAACAAATGAACTGACCAAGTAGATGAAAATTAAATAAAGGAAAAGGGGTGTTTGAAATACTTGGAATGAAAAATTTTCCTATCAAAAATGGAGTTTTGTCAAAATCAACATTAATGCTGGGTCTTTCATGTCCCCATTCTCCTGATTGGTCCTGCTGCCTGACGGGACTACATCTCCAGTGATGTGCTGTGGTCTCTTTCTGTGGCTTAACCACTGTGGGGTATCATAGAAGTCCTGCAGGAATGGAGTCTGCAATTAGAATGCAAGTCTTCACTTTTTGCATTCTTGTTTAGTTATTTTATTATGAACTTAGCTTTATTGAAATATTCTGAGTTAATTGTGTATTTAAAAAACTTTTCTTTAAAATAATCACTGAATAGATTTATGAAGAAACACAATCAGAGCCTGAACTATAGGTGTTGAATGTAAATCGTGTACTTATCACAGGATTATCTAGTGCCATTAGTTTATGTAAAGACAAATTTTGATTCCACCGGCCATTTAGTGTCATGGAACAATTACTTATGATTTCTTCAGGGATCTCAAAATAGTATGTTAGTTTCTGAAGGATGCACAGCACAAATAGACCATCACTATACAACCATAGTAGTAGAACCACTGTAGCGAATACGGCTGCTAAATATTTCTGTCTATAAACTTCCTGAATATAAATCTTAATTTCCATTTTACAGCAACCCAAAGAAATGAAATCAAGTGCTGGAAGCAAAGGAAATGAGGTATAAAGTTTTTTAGTTTTGTAATGTGTTTTTTTTATGACTTTCAAATAAAAAGTATTTTAGAATGGATTTCCGCGAATCTCATTTGTAGGCATGTTAGCTTTTGAAATAAACACAGTCATGATAAACTGAACAGTAGACAGTCGTAATATATTAAAAAATACATGAGAACTTTTCAGAAATAAATTTCTTAGAAGTTTGAATGAAAAAGCCTCAATTTTATACAACAAAAACGGTTGTGTTAGACAGCAGGATATATGTATCCAAATGCATGTGTTTCTTCTTAAGGAGTATTCTTTTAAATTGGGCCCAACATTTATATTTTGTAAAAACAAAGTTTTATGAAACCCAGAACAAGAGAACTGTTTCCACAAACTTTTTTTTTTTAATCCAGTAAGAACAGTTCATTAAACAAGTAAACTGAGGGCCAAATTCACAAGTGGAATAAGAGTGTAATTGTATTGAAGTCAATGGGGTTGTGCCTTCTTCAGGCAGCATTGAATTTGGTCCTACTTTGGTAATATTTATCAGTAGCTGGTCTTAGTGTGCCCCCTTGTGGTTAGATTATAATATAAAACTTCAGATTTACAGAATAACTAACACACACTGGACTATCCATGCCCTCTGACGGTTGGGAGACTTATGTACACTTTTGCTTTGTAAAGTAAACAGATGTTGTGAGTGACTGCATCCTAGAAGGGTCTAAAAGTATGCTTCTCCCATATACCCCAAAGAAAAATTTACATAACCTCAAAATAGGCATTTTCTTGCTCTCTAAAAAACAGACCTTTAAACAAATACCATTAATATCGGTATAGGGACATCAGTATGAATTAGTATTTCGGGTAAGTTTGCTATTTTTCCCTCTGCTTTTTGTTTAATATAAGATTGAAACAAAAATTAGAATTCTACACATGAATGTTTGTACAGCTTTAAGTGTACCAGTATAGTTAAAGTGGTACAACCCTCTAGTGTGGATGCAGCTATTCCAGTATAAACATAGTATGGAGTATTCCTGTCCAGGAAGAGGAAAAGCTGTACTGGTCTACAGTACCCTTCTACCAGTTTAACTGCATCCGCATTAGGGGTTATACTAATATATCTTTAAAAAACCCCACATTCCTAAAAGACACAATTATAAGAGTACAAAAACTGCGTATAGACCAGGCCTTAGTCATAGAGTTTATGTGCAAAATAAGAAAAAGATCAGCATGGATGGTTTAAACAAAAACGAAAAACCCATCACAACCTAAAACCAAGCAGGACACATTTTTGCACACACATCTGTATTCTTGACTGGAACAATTCACCAGTTGATTAGTAAAACTGAAACTCAGGGTCCGATTCTCTGGTGCTCCGTGCCTTGTGAAGTGAATTTGCACTAGGGTAAATGAGTGCAAAGTGGGTGTAAAATGCTACTGCCCTGCCCTTAGTTTGTGCACCTCCTATTAAGTTTGGATTTAGTAACAGATGCTGTGGTCTTATCCAAGGGTTTGGCTACACTTACATTTTATAGCGCTCTAACTTGCTGGCTCGGGGGTGTGAAAAAGCAGAAGGTTTGAGCGCTTTAAAGAGCTTGTGTGGACAGGCTCCAAGCGCAGGGAGCCACTCTCCCAGCGCTCAGAGCTAATCCCCTCGTGGAGGTGGATTACCAGGAGCCCTGGGAGAGCTCTCTCCCAGCACCGGCACTTGACCACACTCACGCTCCCGCAGCAGCGCTTTGAACTTTCTAGTGTAGACATAGTGTAAATGCTCCCCTCCCTTTATGCAACCCCGTGGGAAGCAAAAGAGCACGGATGGCATGAAGAAAAGTTGAGGCCTATGCAGATGGGACAGGTAGTGAGAGAATATATTCCTCCAACAGATCACATCCTCCCCCTGAGAATTCTTGGTGCCAAGTGTCCACTCAAAACTACTATCAGGACTCCCAAGTGTTCAAAATATATGCATCAGGCCCCCAAAGGATGCTATGAGATCTTTTAAAGTCTCCTGATTTTTAAATAATTAGCGTTTGGGGTTTTTTATTTGCCTTCTAGTTTGTTAGCCTTTTCGATTTACGTTTTCAAAATTCTCTCTATACCCAGGAAGGTTAGCAACATTCATTTAAAGAAAACCCACAAAAAGTAAGGGGAGATTCTCACATAACCACAGGTCTCCAGGAATTGGGACTTGACATTAAAAAAAAAAAAAGACAAGATTCACAATAAAATTATAAGTGTTGGCACCAGGGTGAGGGAGATGGGCTGGATGGAAGAGCGGGGCCGGGAAAAGGCTGTACTTTGTGTACCATTCTGTTTGGTAAATGATATAATATCCCGAATGCAGTTACAGCAGCTCTCAGCAGCTACAGATCCTCTGATCATCCTCCACCATCAGAGGGAGTCACAGCCATGCTGACAGCCTGTGGGGAACCTAGTGGCAGCAAGACAGCTAGTGCCTATTGTGCTGGGGGAGGACAGGAAACAGCACAGAGACAGAGTGATTCCATGTGAAGATCCTTGTGATTTGGCCAGTCTGTTACTTTTGTTCTCCTGTGTGTGGCTCATCTGGCCATGCCACAGATTTGCCAGCTTTCTCAGTATTGCTGCCGGCCCCCACTTTCTGAGGTGATAGTGCAAACATATGGGTGGCTACTTCTTGTCCTCAAATCTTTTCTGCTGGCTACTTCCATCTGCTGCAGGCAAGAGGAGACTATGACTTTCAGTAGGATTATTGGAGCTATATAGCTAGTTTGGAGTGTTTAAGTAAAACTGCTGGTGGATCGCTGCATGCGGTGACAGATGCCAAACTTCTACCAGCTTCTGCCTTTTTATAAGCACAGACTTGCTCTCCAAGTATTTCTGTGGTTACGGTTTGCAGATGTGCTCTTCAAAACACATACGGTCAGTGTTCTAGTCCTGGACGGGGAAGTTGAGTTAATCATTTTTAGTTAACAGATGGAGACAATTGTCAATGTTCCATGCTGCAACTGCAATTGGGAAAAAATATACTGAGGCTCTAGAAACGGATTCATAAATGAGATAGCACAAGTATCCTGCTTGGTTATTATAGCTGTGTTATTTGTGCCACACTGCTGCTGGTCCCAGGTTCTGAAAAAAGGAGAAGGCAAAGGAGTGTAGTAGCTAGAATAGACAAATGAAATCTCTCCTGAGAGAGGTCAGGTACTTTTGAAAATCCCACTGGGCAGCCATCTGCATCTTTAGGTGCCTAAATACCTTAAAAATCTGGCCCAGACAGTTTTTAATTCTTTGATTGGTTAGTTCTTTCATTCCAGGTAAGTGTCCGTGAAAGCCTATTGATCAGAAGGTTCTGCAGCTGTGGTTTGTGCCACATTTTGGGGGGGGGACGGGGGGGGACGACATGACTTTTTATTCAAAGCTTACCTTAAAAGGTGAACTGCAAAGCCAGTGAAACTGTGCCTTCCATGGCTTTGGATGATGCATAAAGTTGACATCATACATTTGGGTTTGTGTCTCACTTTTGGTTGTAAAAAACTGGCTTTTCCCCATTGAACATTATACTAGGAATGGCAGGATTGGGTAGTTTCAGGAGGGGAACTTTGACCTGATAGGACGTGGAAACCTGATATACAGCTCCCGGCTGTTATTTGCCCTTGCAGGCATGCGCAAGGGGAAGGGGAGTCATGGAAGGAGACCTTCCTCCTGCGGCCTATGCAAAGACAGAGAATTATAAATACTCTCTGTAAGCAGGGATTTGACTTAACCCCGCCACGGAGCAAATCAGCTGGAAAGGGTTGAAAAGGAAGTGGAGCTCTAGCACACTCGAGAGCAAGATACACCACCCCTTTGGATGGTACAGAGCAGGGCATGCACCCCCACCCCCCTGAGCTCTGAGCAGCCCTGGGAGAGTTTGTGCCTGAGGCCCAGTCTCTCCCTGTGCTGCAACTGGTGCAGGAGGGCCTCCATGCAGCTCTTTGTGCAAGTTGCACAATCTAGCCCAATGTATGGAGGAGCTGTCGGGCAGCAGGAAAGCTAAGTGAGCGGCTGCTCAAGTTTATCCCTTCTGGGATGTTGCATTCCCAGTCCTCCAAAGATAGACAGAGTCCGCTGGGAAATCGGAATCTGTTTTACATTGAAATTGTCAATCACCAAAGAAGCTTTTTAAAAAGAAAAAACAACATTTGAGGCCATCTCTATAACTTGCAAAAAGCATAGTTCCTTTTGTTCATTTTTCACTTCAATCCTTAAAAGCGCAACAATCCCTTTAACAATGTTTTCTTAGCTTCTTCAGAAAACAGCAGAAGTTTTAGGCAGAGTTTAAGGTCGGGGCACTGCTTTTTTTTTTTTAATAAAATACCCACGATTTTCCACTGGCTCTGCTTATACAGTATATTCAACTGACATATTTTCTTTCAGTGTTGTGTTCTCTGTACAGTTTGGTTGTAGTCAGGCTCCCAAAACCAGTTTTAAGTGCCAGCTTTGTTCACAGTTTTATAATGTGTTTACTTCCTCAGGGCCCTCAGATGGTAACTGAAGAGCTGCACTCCATCAGCTTTGAAACACAGGTCTCCCTGTATGGTCTGACTATGGATTTGGAGGTGAATGTTTTCACTGTTTTTGTGTGGGGAAGAATAAGCAATTATTTGTCCTCAAGCCAAATCAATACCTGTTACTTACAAGAGTTTGAGAATTCTTGGATAAAGATGCACAGTACATAGATTTACAGCAACTTTTGAGCTAACTCTAATTGGCCATGCGTGCTTCACTTTGATACAGTATAAATATGATGTTCTGCAGAGCATTTCGTGCACAGTCCTGCCCCCAGTGAAGTCAGTGGCAAAATTCCCATTGAGTTCAATAAAAGCAGGATTGGGATGCCGCGTGGAGCAGCACGGCATGCTGCTTTGAGAATGATATGATATGGCAAGAGAAAGTTTTAGGGGCCCATGATACACATGACTGCAGGTCTTCCTGGTTCACCACTTGTGCGCATCATAGTGTGGCTGACATGAGCCCTCCAACAGTGCAGGGGATACCATAGATCCCCTCCCTGCCAGACAGATGACTGGCTGTTGGCAGCTATACTTCATGCAGCCCTTTCATACAGCTGGTAAGGCAGGCCCTAGACACAGCTACAGCCGGCCATCTGGGTCTCTGTGGAGTCCAGCACATATAGCTGAGCTCTGAGACTAACATTCACTGAACATTTGGGGGCCCATCCCCAGACCAACAGTTAGCCAGCAACAGCACCCCAGGAGATCTCTGCCCCAAGGAATATGCCCAAAGACAAAGAGGCGATATTGAGACTATTGCAGTTTCCAGTACTACAAAACTATTATGCTAATTTAAAAAACAACAACATGCTGGTAGACTAATACATTCCCCAATGAATGCCTTGTATGCAACACTCTGTAACATTCACATACTCTGTCTTCTTCACCAGACAAGCTCTTTGCCTGTAGTGATGATTTCCAATGTCAGTCAGCTACCTAATGCTTGGGCTTCTATTATTTGGTACAACTTGTTGTCAAAGGATTCTCAGGTAGGTCTTCAAATCCCAAATATTAATTTTCTGTATATTTCAGGTTTCTAGTTATCCACTTGTCAAGCAGAAAAAGATTTTTTCCCAGATCTGATACTTCTAGGAAATCTGGCCTTTTTTCCTGTACATACACTCTATACTACAAATTAGCTGTAATCACATTTATAATAATATGATTAACATTATGTAGAGGATTGAATGGGCCTTTGGATCCAGACATGGTGCCTTTTTTACCTCCAGATTGACAGTTCAAATGTAAGATAGGTCAGTATTGACTGAAAACTGTTACTATTTGACTCCTGGTTTTTGGTCTGTGTGAAATGACTTATTGGAAGTTTCCAGTCTATTTATTATTGATTTGTATTATCATAGTACCTAGGAGCTCCTGGTGTGGACCCGGACCCCACTCTGCTAGGCACCATACACAGTTCTTATTGGACAAATCTCAATATCACAGAGCAAACATTCTCAAATGACATGTTAGTAGTCCTGGTAAAAAGACCAATGATAGAATGGGCTTGTAGATTTAATTACCCTTTCACTCTCTTGATGTGGTTTCTCTGCAACAGGACTGGGGAAAATTGAAGGGGTGTACTTAGAAGTCTTGTACTCCTGCTTCTTGCACTGTTCCTAATTTGTGAGTATATGGAACACCTTAGAAGATTGCCTTGTACTAAATGCTGTAAACCTATATCATTCACAAACACTAACTTCACTGAAAAAAATGATCCATGCCTGTGATTAATACATACTTACATGTTATACGTAAAAGAGCTTTCATTATTCAGATTAATTCTTTGCAATATGTAACTCATAGCTTGAGCATCAGTCTGTCAAATTGGATACATAAGAGTTTCTGTACTGTATTAAATACAGTTTTCCTCACTTATTTCACAGGGGTTAGTGCTTTTATTAAATTAGAGCATAAGTAAGTGGACTGACACCACCTGCTAGTAGCTCCAACTTCAGGGGAAAGATTGTTGCTTCCCAGTCTGCGGTAGGTTCAGAACAGACTGCTGAGTTACTCACATCAATTACCTTTACCAGCATGACTGCTGCCGTACCGTGGAATAGCTGTAATAGTAGCTCTAAATGAGAAGCTCCTCTAGTTTTTCAGTCAGGGATTGGTGGTTGCCTGTAGATGTTGCGAGGACAGAGAATGCAGGAAAGGGTGTGTCAGAATGCCACCAAGAATTGGCAGACCAAATGACAATCCATCTCGATATCAATTTTAACCCAAACAAAACTCTTAACCTAAGTCTTTGGAGCACAGTCATTAGTCTGTTCTAGATTAAAGGATTCAAATAGAAAAAAAAAAATCCATCAGCCAGGCCATAAAAAGAATTTAACAACATGTTTCCATACAGGGTGTCTTAAAGGATTAGTTAATAGACTTGGCACACTGAAGTTGTGTTTGCTCCAGATGGAAATTGTCTTCTGAGAACACCTGCTCTTATCGGGCAGCTTTTGTTTGTTAGCATTGTTAGCAGCACTTCCTTCTGGGACTATCAAAACTAAGGTGCACCTGACTTCCTCTTTGCAGTTTGAAATGTCTAATGTTTTTCAGAGTGGCTACCAATGTATAAACAAAGCATGAATTCTATTGCAGAACCTGGCTTTCTTTAACAATCCCCCCACTGCCACTCTGAGTCAACTCTTAGAAGTACTGAGCTGGCAGTTTTCATCTTATGTTGGTCGTGGACTCAATTCTGAGCAGCTCAATATGCTGGCAGAGAAACTTATGGGTAAGAACCATAAAACTACGATAGCTGTTCAATTTCTATTTACTTCTAAATATTACACATGACAAGCCACACTCTGCCCACTTGCAGGTTAGAAGTCAAAATTTATGCCCAAAATCCCCTCCTCCACCACCCCCCCTTCTTCCCCCACATTGTTCACTAGTTCTCAACCAATTTGTAAATACAGTTTGCCTTCTTCCCCTTTGTGCTCTCATGTGCTATTGCTACGGGTGACATCACTTTTCAGTAACACCAACTACCTCCACCACTCCGCTCAGCGTTGCCAATTGTTCGTTAATACTTTTAAAGTAAAAAAGGTACGTTTCACCTTATTCTTGGCAAAAAGTGCCTTAGCTTGTGAACTTCCAGACAGTTAGGCTAAGCAAAAGGGTGTCATAGTTGCAACAAACTATGGTAAGCGTTGTTAAAGAACTGTGAACCTATTATGAAGTGAAAGGGCAGTCTTGGTCTGTTAAAATAAACACTCACACACACACCCTACCTTTTATCTTCTGGGTCACTTGTCTCCTGAAAGCAAAGAGGGATCACTCCTGCTCTGCTGATGAAGGAGAAGGGAGCTCCTCTATGGGCAGGAAGTGTAATAGTTAAGTCATAGTAAGCTTTCTAGTAGCAGGATGGACACTTGAAGGTTTCAGCTACCTGTCCTCCAGAAGGGGGATTCAAGCTTTGGAGGAGGCTGGTAGATTTATCTGTGGTTAAAAGGTGGAGAGGCTGTTCCTTCTAATGTCAGTCAGGTGGATATTGATTGGACTGATTGCCCTTTTTGATGGAGGGAGGGAAGAAAAGATGTTGACAGACCACAGGGGGCTCCTTAGCTAGATTTTAGTTTTGGTGGAGACTGAGGTGGGGAGGATACTTCTGAGCTGCAGCAAAAGGGGATTAAGGCATCTGCTGTTGGTTTGGGGAAGGCTGCTGCAGGAGGATTGGGAGGGGAAGGCAATTTGCCTAGAGGAATGAAACCACTTTTTTTAGTGGCTTGTTGTACAGGAGGAGGGAACATCCAGATTAGAGCCACTTCCTGCGGTGAAGTGATGGTGGTGCAGGTTGAAGAGAGGTGCAGTTGCGCATGTCCAGTGTGCTCATGGTCAACCTCTTCTGGGGCTGGGATCCAGAGCTGCAACCACATTAATAAAATTTGAGGGACGAGACCAGGAGTGAGAATGCAAAAGACCTGCAGCCACAACAAGGGGAATCCTAAGTACAATAGAAAAAAAAACTGAGGGAAGGACATGTTTGCATTCTCCCAGGCATTGTGCCTGTATCTCAATCCTCCTGCAAGATGGTCAGGCTGAAGGATCTCCCCTCCCAGCTCCCACTCCTGCCCCAAACACTTCAAGTGATCGAGCTCGTTACTGGATGAATGTCTGGGACCTGTTGCAATTTCCGGGTGCCATTCCCTGTCTAAACACGATCTCCCTCCTCTGTTATCTCAGTAACTAGGGAAAAAATAGGGTAAGGTTGGTTATATTTCACAGGAGAATTAAGCCATTCAAGATTTGAAACAACATGACGAATAACTACATTTTAAGCAATGTTACTCTAAAGGTCCTATATTTATCTCTGCTAGCATTTACAGAAGAGTACATTGGTAGGGCCGTATGTATCATAAAAGATTTTCTTATTAGAACTTCAAACAGAAAAACCTCAGATAAAGTGAAGCCCATGAGCAGCAAACTCAGATAAAAAGTGGAACTCTGTGTTTAAGATGATATAGAACAGAAGTCCCCAGTTGCTTCAGGGCATTGCTGTAATGTTTAAATTGCAGGTCCACCTATAGAGAAACTTTGCTTGTAATCATGTTGTTCAGGTAAATGTCATGTACAATGTAAATGCTTTAATATTCAAGTATCACAAATGAACCTATTTCAGGAACTTCAGACAAAGGGACTGATATATTTCTTTTTAAATTTTAGGGCAACAGATTAGTTACAATGATTATCAACTGTCCTGGGCAAAGTTCTGCAAGGTAGGATTGTAAAAAAAAAAAAATTAAAGTATTCTTCTTTTTTCTTTGAGTGCCTGCATGCAGGCTTAATTCTGCCCCATTGACATCACTGACAAACCTCCCACTTGACATGTCTCAGATCAGGATTGGTCCCATTCTGAGCTGTCCTGTGTCAGGATTTCCAGGCGTAGCACACACAAATTAAATTCTAAAATGCTACTTAATGGAAAGAAGCAACAAGGACCCTAATGGTTAAATCTGACTGGGAGGAGTTCATGCCCTAAACCACAGTTGGTCACCATTTACTCCACAAAATGACCTGTCTTAAAGTTGTTGAAACGGAACTATTTTTTAATAAAAGACATTTTAATGGCGATGCAGTTTAAATTGGCACATACAGGCCATCTCTAGAAAATGAATGGCTTGACCATTAGTCAGTAGTTTTATTTGAATCTTCTTTGACCATTCCAGTTAGCTTACAACTGACTTAAGAAACCATAATCACTGATGGGAGCCAAACCCTAACATTGTTTTAAAAAGTTAAATTACTCTACATGCTCATTTGTGAACTAAAACAAAGATACTTCAAGAACTGATTGGCTGTAAATCAATACATCTAAATACTTTTGTCAGAATCAGACAAAAATACTGAGTATGGAAAGTAAATCCAATACATTCATATTAAAGATGCATTATTTAAAATATATTTGTAATATTTGAAGATTCTTGGAAGGAAATAACTGTGCTCTCAAGCTATAGTTTCATAGTGAGGGAGAAATGATATAGACATTAATTATTCTAAATAAAGAGTGTAAAGTGAAGCACTTCCTCTAAAAATCTTGAAAAGCAAATCATATAGATATTTTGTTTTTACACAAGATAGTAAGATTTGAATTGCTGCTTTGAATAAATTTCTCTATCATTCTCAGATAAGTAGAAACTAGAACTATTCCTGTGAAAATGACAGAGACATGCAGCATTGATACTGTGTTAAAGATGTGGTTGAAATTGTCTTTTGATTTGTTTGTTTATTTTACCAATAGGAACATTTATCTGGAAAGTCATTTACCTTTTGGGTATGGCTCGAAGCAATACTGGACCTAATTAAAAAACACATTCTTCCTCTTTGGATTGACGGGTGAGCAATATACTGGCAACTGTCCATTGACGTAACATGCTTACCTCATTTGTCCCTTCTCTTTATTTAAGTCTACATTCAGCATTACAGAAAAGAATTTTCAAAGGCCTAAAAATCTCCAAGTATGCCATATTGTTTGCAATTATTTTTAGTCTGAAGAAAACTCTACTGAAACTATTTGAAGTGTATTTTAGATTTCTCCTTTATGGACTTAGTTAGTTTACAGGCAAGTAATATGATAAATTTTCTCATGCTCCACACTGTGATGGGGGCCCATGCTGTGTTCCTGTGCAGATAAAACTCCCACTAACTTCATGTTGAGCCTTTGTGAGGTCTATAGCAGTGGGCCTATAAAACCAGCCTTTTACTTTGTTTGGCGCTTATCTGGCATTGCAATATAAAAGTTGGGAAATGAATGCCACAGAATGGATGCTGTAGTTACTCTGTAAGTAAAGCCATGATTTTCTTATACTTGCAGGTATATAATGGGATTTGTGAGCAAGGAGAAGGAACGAGTTTTGCTCAGGGACAAAATGCCTGGAACATTTTTATTAAGGTTTAGTGAAAGCAATCTGGGAGGAATTACCTTTACCTGGGTGGACCAGTCAGAAAATGGTAAGTGCAGCTTAAAAGTGTAAAATTCAAGGCAACCTAAACTATAAATGATAGGTGAAATGTGTAGCTAATTATGATTGTTGACCTCTTTACCTATTCACCATTATATTGCCTTTGTGTCTTTACAGGAGAAGTAAGGTTCCACTCAGTGGAACCCTATAATAAAGGTCGTTTAACTGCGCTGCCATTTGCTGACATTTTGCGAGATTACAAAGTTATTTTGGCAGACAATGTTCCTGAAAATCCACTGAAATATCTGTATCCAGATATTCCCAAAGATAAAGCCTTTGGCAAATACTACAGCTGTCAGCCAAATGAAGGTTGGGCTCTATAGTCTATACTTATCCTTTTTGGAAAGTAACATTAAATTCAGATGATATGCAAATTAACTTTTTTTCTTAGGAAAACAAATGTTTACTTGTGGAAACAGTACCTCGTTTTATGGAATGCCTTTATAAAAACTGTGCTTGTTTTTTCATGCACCCCCTGTCTGCCTATTGTTTCCACCTGTTGTCTCTTGTCGTATACTTAGATTGTAAGCTCTTTGGGGCAGAAGCTGTGTTTTTGTTGGGTATTTGTACAGAACCGAGCATAGTTGGACCCTACTCTATGAATTGTAGGTAATACAATAATAAATAACAATGACACTTAGATATGCACAAGCTAAGAAACATCTCTGTGAAAGCAGTCATATTATAGGAAGTTATTCAATTCATTATTTACAGAAATACATTTATTTTCAACTTACATTTCTTTGCCCATGTTTCAGATATTTATTTCTATTTACAAGACCACTTGCTTGTCTGCTTCCAGAATTATGTAGCAGTGTCACTTGCTGTTTCTTCAGTTCCAAGAACCTCTCACTTGAGGTTCAGGGGACTTAGTAATGGCAAACAGCTCATGAGAGTAACTTATAATTCCAGAGAGACAAACAAGCAGCAGATCCCGTGCGATATATATTGACTAAAATTGCCAGTGTAGTCAGAATTACTTATGAATGAACACAACCCTATTTTGTCCCCTCATGAAAGGTTTCAGTTAAAGGCAGCTAAAGGTTTCAGTTAAACATTTGTTTGCAGGATTGGCATCTAAAGGCTCAGACCTGCAAAGACTAGAGCACATACCTATAATACATTTAAGTACTCCTCATGACTTCAAAGGAACTTCTTAAGTGAGTCCAGTTACTTATGTGTGTAAGTCTGTGCAGGTTCAAGCCCTGTCTTGTTGCCCATGTTCTTGTTGCTCGTTCCTGATTAAACAAATACTTATGTTTCCCTTTCAATACATTATGCTCTACAGCTTTTAAAATATTTGTATTAAATCTCAGGAAATAATAAGCGTAGAAACTTTAGGGCATTTTTAAAAATTTCCCTAACGTTGATTCTTTTTTAGTCTCAAGACCTACAGAAGGAGGGGTCAAAGGTTATGTGCCTGCTGTATTTATCCCAATCTCCAAAATGTGAGTAATCTAAGAGCTGTTTTACACTTTGGATGTTATTCATTAAGTCTGTGTACCTCCCTTCATCCCGCAGTTTCTTTGATTCCATCTTTTTCCCATGGAAATACCTAGTGATAGCAACACAGAGATATGGGTCCCAATTCTCTGGCCTGGCAAAGGAGTGCTCAATGAAAGGCTGGGGGAATAAGTAAAGAGGGCTTTAAAACCACCTCTTCTTCCCCAGTCCTGATGCTGTCTATGCATCAGGAATGTATGCAAAATAAATTAGAGCAGCCTTTAGGCTCCTCTAATGTGTTCCAACTTTTAATGTCCCCTAGAATCTTGGGTACGGCAGCTGGGTTTCACCTTTCTTTCCCTGACTACAGCTCCTGCATCAAGTGGCCAGAAAGTGGTATAGGAGCGCCTCTGCAGTTCCTGATCACAGGAAGATCCCCCTACGCAGACAGAATTAACAGATTAAACAAGGTTTAGGGCACCTTTGTGCTCCTGGAGTAGCACAAAGTGTACAGTATGGTTTTGTGTGTGTGCCTGCAGCTATATCTTTTCAAGGTATTCTCATTGATGTTGTGGGCTAATAGGACATTAGCATGCAGTTGGCTCTTTCACAGGCTACTTGCTGCTACATCCGTGTTACCCAAACACCGATCTACCATGGAATGATTACGTTCATGTCCCTTATTGATGCATTAAGTTGCAAAGGGATTTCTTCCCATTATTTCCTAATCATCTTTAAGGTTATTTATTTTATTTGTGTTTCTTTTAAGCCTGTATGATTCCACAGATCCACATTCTCCATCAGATCTTCTTCCCATGTCTCCAAGTGTTTATGCTGTGCTGAGAGAACACCTGAGTCCCACAGTGATTGAAACTGCTGTATGTTGCAAGTTTTTTCATTCATAATTTACTACTAAGCAAATGGGGTCTACTTTGTGGAGAGAAAGAGTTACCAGTGGAGAGAAAGGCTTCTTTTGCAGTGCAAAAGGGTGAGAGTACAGTTGTAACCATTAAAAAGTCAGCACTTGCCTTCAGTTCCCATACAGAGCTATGGGAGATAACGCAGTTCTTTCCTATTCTAAATGCAGTTGAATTCTTCAGTATGGTAGGAAATGTCTTTTTCATGGTGACCATTGTACTATGAACTTTGTATCTTAGCACTTCGCAATGCAAGGATCTCAAAAGTCCATGCAAGGATCTCAAAATTCTGTACACACATTAATTAAGCTTCAGCACCCAGAACTGTATGTAAGTATTATACCGATTTTACAGATAACACAGGGGGCTTGATTCACCCATTGCCATGCATTTTATGTAGTTGCCATTTCTGTTGTGGTAGCATTTTACAGACACTTTGCACTAATGAAAATGACTACTCCAGCTGCATGGTGTCGATGGGTCTGTCTCAGAGATGTTAAAGGTGAACTGAAATGTCTTAACTAAACAAATACAAAACATTCATTAAAAGTTCATGGAGAGACTTAAAAGTTACATTACAAATGTATTTATTTATTTTAAAATCATTTTCTATTTTACTTGCCTGCTGAGAACGGCATTCAGAGCTCTCTGCAGAGCATGAGGAGGCTCAGCCTCACAAGTTGCACCCAAAGCAGGACAGGTTCTTACATTTCTTCCCGGGTTTAAATATCTGGGGACCGAAGCTGGGCTGGTGTGATTTGAAGCCCTCCTGTCACCATCAGCATAGAGCATCTTCACCAAAGCGCTACAGCGGCGCAGCTGCGGCACTGTACGTGAAGACAAGCACTCAGTATGTGGCAAGAGGGAACTTTTAGTGGACAGCAGCAGAGTCCAGGTGGCGAGTTAGTGCACAGCAAGTTAGTGTGCTGTCTATCCACTTCTCAGCTTGCCACATGCAAAGTCCCCAGGTAAACAAGCCCCTAATTTCCCCAGAGTGTGAGTGGGGGTGTGCGTGGGGCATCTCCCTCTGTATAGTTCTAGGGTCTAAACCTAATCTACCAGACAGTGCCTCTTTAAGAGGCCAGGGCGCGGAACCATTACATAAGTCAGGGCTTAGTTTGCACTGTGATTGTGTGTTTGTCACTGGAAATAATTTGAGCAAACTGTGGCTTGTTTCGTTTTGTTTTTCAATATGCAGCAATAATTGCCTTAAAGCTGATGTTTTCATTCCTCTCTTCTAGCTGAGTTCTCCATATTCAGCTGACTGAAATTCAGACACCATGAAGAGCAACAAAGCAGCCAAAATACTTTATAAAATGAAAGTTAAAAAAAAAGAAGTTGTTTCTGCAGCTTTGTAAATAAGGGTTTCCTGGAAGCCAATGCCATGTTCTTCTTGGGCCTATGTGTACTTTCAAATGCATGGAAATCAGAAGCCTCCCAAGGGAAGTCACTGGAGTTACAAACATCTGGCATCATTTGGGGCCTGCCACTGAAGTCCTCACTCAAGGCAATATTACCTCTTAACTCAATGGGCCAAATCCTTCCCTGGTGTGCAACTCCATTGACTTCCGTGGCGTTACACTAGGTATGAATTTAGCCCAGTGGGCCTGCTTATGGAAATAAGGACTGCAGTATTGCTGTAAAACAAGACTTACTGTAGGATGGAGATGTTCTGTTCATGGAACATTTTGAAAGCAAGACCTTAGAATAACTACAGGGATTTAAGATGTGTTCAGAAAATCAGGATTTATGCTGTACATTTCGTGTTCTGTTTTTATAAAGTCTATTTCTTTGCTTTTATTTTAAATTAAAGGTTCTCATCCATCCCTTCATTACACTGACCGTAGGTGCCAGGAGTCAGCTTTTCCTGCCATGAACTGCTTTCAGTACAAAAGGACAGATTTTATCTTCCTCCAGTAAAATCCATGGAAGGGAAGAGGGAGGAGAAGGGGATCATGGAAATAGAAGAGTTCTCTAGAAACTTTAGAGCAGGGGTGGGTAGTAAATTAGTTTTTGCTATGGTATAAATTTCTCGGTCAAGGTCCAGACTCCAGAGAAAATAATAAAAATAATAGCAATAATAAGTAAATAAAAAGATTTCGGGGTCCGTTTAAAAGTATCTGGCGGTCTGGATTTGGCCCGCGGGCCACCTGTTGGTTACCCCTGCTTTAGAGGCACTACACTTCAAAAGTCACTAAATTTCTGTGCCTCCATTCCGCATCTGTAACAGGGTTAATAAAATCTCTGTGTCTTGCAGGACAGTTGTGAGGGTACATTTATTCATGGTTGTGAGGCACTGTGATGAGTACTTCAGAAAAGCCCATAAAGAAACAGTCCTTATTCAATGCAGGGTTTAGATGGTGTGCCATAATCGAGGCCTTAGGGACACACTGAATGATAAAACGGAGACCAAAGAGCTGCTTCATTTGCTGAGTACCGTCAAACATGCACCTCCTCATAGTGCAAAGTTACAAAGAGCTAAATTGCCTCAGGTACAGATGTAAATAAGCAGAATAACTGGTTCTTAACATAAAAGGTCATTTGCCTTTTTAAAGCAGCCATGTTACTGTTCGTCATGACAGTCTGTCTTTTCTCAGAATTACCCATGACAAATTAACTGTTTTAGAATAACAAACACTGACAATTTACAAAAGATAGATATCCAAGTTCTGCCTGGGAAGTATGCAGTCTGGAGCATACTTAATTGTGAAAGCAAAATATGCATTTGTACAAGCAAAGGGTGAGGTACAACATCGGTCTGGTCTATACTAGAAATTAGATCAGTTTAACTATGTCGGTCAGGAGTATGAAAAATCCACAACCCAAGTGGCGTTGTTAAGCCAACCTAAGTCCTCATGTAGACAGCACTATATCAATGGAAGAATTCTTCTGTTAACCTAACTACTGCCTCTCAAGAAGGTGGATTACCTATGCCCATAGGAGAACCCCTTTCATGAGTGTAGGTAGTGTCTACAGTGAAGCGCTACAACTGCACAGAGAACAGGAGTACTTGTGGCACCTTAGAGACTAACCAATTTATTTGAGCATGAGCTTTCGTGAGCTACAGCCCACTTCATCGGATGCATACTGTGGAAAGTGTAGAAGATCTTTTTATACACACAAAGCATGAAAAAATACCTCCCCCCACCCCACTCTCCTGCTGGTAATAGTTTATCTAAAGTGATCACTCTCCTTACAATGTGTATGATAATCAAGTTGGGCCGTTTCCAGCATAAATCCAGGGTTTAACAAGAACATCTGGGGGGGGGGTATAGGAAAAAACAAGGGGAAATAGGTTACCTTGCATAATGACTTAGCCATTCCCAGTCTCTATTCAAGCCTAAGTTAATTGTATCCAATTTGCAAATTAATTCCAATTCAGCAGTCTCTCGTTGGAGTCTGTTTTCGAAGTTTTTTTGTTGAAGGATAGTCACTTTGAGATCAGAAATCGAGTGACCAGAGAGATTGAAGTGTTCTCCGACTGGTTTATGAATGTTATAATTCTTGACATCTGATTTGTGTCCATTTATTCTTTTACGTAGAGACTGTCCAGTTTGACCAATGTACATGGCAGAGGGGCATTGCTGGCACATGATGGCATATATCACATTGGTGGATGTGCAGGTGAACGAGCCTCTGATAGTGTGGCTGATGTTATTAGGCCCTGTGATGGTGTCTCCTGAATAGATATGTGGGCACAGTTGGCAACGGGCTTTGCTGCAAGGATAGGTTCCTGGGTTAGTGGTTCTGTTGTGTGGTGTGTGGTTGCTTCAGGTTGGGGGGCTGTCTGTAGACTGGCCTGTCTCCCAAGATTTGTGAGAGTGATGGGTCGTCCTTCAGGATAGGTTGTAGATCCTTGATGATGCGTTGGAGAGGTTTTAGTTGGGGGCTGAAGGTGACGGCTAGTGGCGTACTGTTGTTTTCTTTGTTGGGCCTGCCCTGTAGTAGGTGACTTCTGGGAACTCTTCTGGCTCTGTCAGTCTGTTTCTTCCCTTCTGCAGGTGGGGACTCTAGTTGGACAGCTGTGCCACTGGAGCATGTTAAGTGTAGGCAAGCCCTTAAGCATCTGAGATGAAATCCGGGCCCCACAGGAGATAATGAGGTTCGTTTTTGACTTCAGTGAGGCCAGGATTTCATGCCTACTCCCCCCAACCCCCACCTTTTCCCCCAACCCCCACTCAACATTTACCGTACCATTTTGTTAGGCACCTCCAAAGGTATCTTACTAAGGCCTTTTGTGGGCCATCCCTGGAGGCTCTCACATTTAAATTGATAATGTATCTGGGATCTGAAAGTAAAACAATACCAATGTATTAGCTTTGGTGGGCCTGTTTTAGCTCTTAGCCTAGTGGCTTGGCTGATAGCTGATTGTTCTAGAACTTCTCTAGAACTTTTCAATTTAATGTTATAGTACTATCTTAGGATTCTTGCTCCTCTGGTCATGAGAAGTAAGGGTCAGTGCACACAGCCACTATGAGCACCTCCAAGTAGCAACACAGGGAAAAATCCACTGGGGCAGGGATATAAGATCAGAGTAGATGGTTAGAAGCAGAATAAGCAGTAGGGAGTCCTGATCTTCCCCACTAGTATTGTCCTCAATTGTAAACTGTTGGGAAAGCAAAGGGAGGGAGAGCCCCAATGATCTGATTCAACTGGCATCTCTTTGCTGTGCAAATGGAGTATGTTTAAAATAAATGAATACATTTTTTTCCGCTGTCTAGTCTGAATGATTTGTACATAGTCAGGGGGATGTAGTCAAACTTTGAAAAACCAATGACCGTAAGTAATTCTCCAGAAACATAATAGCACAGAACTGATATTAAACCGTGTATATAGTTTGATAATCTCTGTAATTTATATGACTAATAGAAATAAAAATAGATTTTGTTTTGCTGTTGGATACTTGTGGGACTTTTAAAGATAAGACAACAGTGGGAGGACTCAGTAGCCTTGGTTGGTCTTGAGTCTGAATCACCAGTGTGAACTGAGACATTTAAAGAGGCAAGCATCAAATTCATCCAGCATAAGAACAGCCCTACTGGGTCAGACCAAAGGTCCATCCAGCCCAGTATCCTGTCTGCTGACAGTGGCCAATGCCAGGTGCCCCAGAAGGAGTGAACCTAACAGGTAATGATCTTGTGATCTCTCTCCTGCCATCCATCTCCACCCTCTAACAGACAGAGGCTAGGGACACCATTCCTTACCCATCCTGACTCATAGCCATTAATGGACTTAACCTCCATGAATTTATCCGGTTCTCTTTTAAACCCTGTTATAGTCCAAGCCTTCACAACCTCCTCAGGCAAGGAGTTCCACAGGTTGACTGTGTGCTGAGTGAAGAACAACTTCCTTTTATTTGTTTTAAATCTGCTACCCATTAATTTCACTTTGTGTCCCCTAGTTCTTATACTATGGGAACAAGTAAATAACTTTTCCTTATTCACTTTCTCCACACCACAGCATGTTCATAGATATTAGATATTTAGGTCAGAAGGGACCATTATGATCATCTAGTCTGACCTCCTGCACAACGCAGGCCACAGAATTTCACCCATCACACAGTTTGTTTAACCTATAATGCTCCTGTGACCGGGGTCCTAGTGGGGAGCCAGCTGTGGTCATTCAATTAGGCTGAACTGCAAAGAATGGGGCAGACAATCCCCATAAAGCTGGTGGATATTCCAATACTTAGGTTCACCAAAACAGCATAAAGCAGCTTCTTTATTACCTTACTGGTTACTCAGAAGTCCAAACAACACAGTTCCCTTAAAGTGATCTAGCCTCAGGCCTCCATCCAGGTACCCACATCAAATATGATGAAAATTTCTGTAAATCTTATTTCATCATATAAAAGAACAGGTTCTACCAATCCCAAAGGATCAGACACAACCTCCCAAATACACACTACAGTCAAGTCTTATTAACTAAACTAAAATTTATTAAAAAACAAAAGAGAGCAAGTATGGTTAAAAGATCAAAATACATACAGATATGAGTTCAATCCATTGAGGTTCAGATTCATATCACAGATGGTGAGCTTTGTAGTTGCAAAGAGTTCCTTTAGAATTCAGTTCATAGGTCATAGTCCAATGTCCAAATTTCATATTCAGGGCGTACCAGCATAAATGGGATCTCTGTCTTGCGAATCAAATTTCCCCGATGACGCCTAAGCAGATCTGAGAAGACAGAATCAGGACCCAAGGATCTTTTGGACAATTGCATGTCTTTTGACAAGTTGGAGTTCCTCAGGGAACAAAAAGTAATTAGGATGACTTTGAAGGAGGTCCATCACTGGTACTTAGCTATACAAATTAACATAAAGCCGTTTTCTTGTTCCTCTACCATTCACCATTTCAAAGAGAGATGAATACCGAGATAGCCCATGTTTACAATTCATTTAAATAATAGGATGTTCTTTAGATCTCTGAATTATCAGAATACAGCATAGACAGGGACTGTTGATTACGTTGTTGACCCTACTCATACATATGTAAATACACAAAAACACAAACATTATCTCTCCCCCTCCACACATCTTTTGAGGGTTATTTATTTTGCAGGATGTTTAACCTTTTCTAGCCATGCGTCACAGCTTCTAAAATCAAAAAACAAACAAAAAATCCCAACACTGCATACAGAATATTCTTGACCTTATAAACCACCTAGAAGACTGTGTTAATCGCTGTGGTGTCCCATATTTTAGCTCTGCTCTGGCCAGTTGGAAACAAAAGGCTAATAGTCAAAAAAATCAGATTTGAAAGAATAAGACCCTTGGGAACACAGATTCTTCTTCTTCAAGTGCTTGCTCACGTCCATTCCATATTAGGTGTGTGCTCCCCACATGCACTGATGCTGCAAGTTTTTCCCTCAGCAGTATCTGTAGGGGAACCAGCTCCGGAGTAGCGCCCGCATGGTGTGGTATAAGGGGCACCACTGGCTCCCCCCACCCTCAGTTCCTTCTTGCCAACAGTGACGGTGCTGGAATGTCTGCTGCTTTGGCTAGCATTGGTTCCTTCTCTGTTCTTGTGAACTTTGAAATCCTGTAAAGTACTTATACATAGTAGTTTTCTTAGTTACCCTTAGTAGTCTCAAACTCTTTGTTAGTCCCAAAGTTCGTTAGTCAGGGCATGCCCCGGTCCCCAAGCTTTAAGCCCTGCAATTGCTGCAAATGGCCTATGCCCATCAGCGATCCACATACCAGCTGCCTAAGGTACATAAATGACAAGTGCCATGTCTGTAAGTCCTTTAAACCTAGGACGAAGGAGGAGTGCGATATCAGTCTGAAAGTGCTCCTAATGGAGTCGGCACTCACTCCGGCACCGGAGCAGCGGTCTGACTGCACCATGCGCAGTGCTCTGCCGGCACTGTCCATAAGCTGGTCTCCCTCCACGGCTCCGGTCAAGAAGCTGAAAAAGACTGTGAGGGGAAGATCTCCTACCTCCCACAAGCGAAAGGAGAGGGCAGGGGTGAGCCAAGACCTGTGTCGGTCAGCTCAACATCCCCCTTGGGAAGTCGGGCACCAGCTCAAGTCGAGCAGTGCAGCCCATCCCATCCCATGCCTTGCCTGCAACTCCAGATAGTGGTGTAGGCCACAGCCAGCTTCAGGTGCCGTTGATGCCTGAAGCCCTTCAAACAGCTCAGGAGATCCTGACGCTCCTGGTGCCACCCACACCAGCTCCCTGCGGTACCCCGGTCTCGGGGAAAAGCTGCGTTGGGACCGATATGTGTGTTCCCGCCTCAGCGGCACCGTTCCCATTGAGAGGGACGTCCCGCCAGCGTTCGCCCGCCCACAGCCGTCATGCCTCAGGACAGGAGAGGCAGGCTCACCAGAGCCCCCTTTGGTCCCCGCACTGGGGGCACTGATCGAGGGACTCGAGGCGTACCTTGCCAGTAGATTGGCGCAGACCCTCTGAGGCACGTGCCACCCGGCAAGAACTCCGGGACCAGCCCTAACCATCTTCAAGGGCCCAGTACCGACTGGGCATCAAACACCACCAATTGCCGGCCTGTCAATCAGCCGTGTCCAAAAGGAAGGTTGCCCTACTCAGGACGATCCTCCTGGCAATCAGCTCATAGTAGCAACAATGGCGGGGGACGGTCTATTCCCAGTTCCGAAACGCCCTGGAAAAGATCGTTACCATTCCCCAGGCGATACTTACCTCACTGCAATGGTGGACTGACCACAGGACAGTCCTAGAGGGGGTTCCGTTCAACAAGTCCCCCACTCCATCGAATTGGTGTTGGATGCCTCGGACCTCGGCTGGGGTGCGCATCTCAGTGACCTCAACACCAGGGATGTGATCCCTGGAGGAGTCAAAAGTTGCACATAAACGTCAAAGAGTTCTGAGTAGTCCAGCTGGCATGTGGAGTCTTCCTGCCCCACCTGTCGGGCAAGGTGGTACGAGTCCTGATGGACAACACAGCCTCGATGTTCTACATCGACAGGCAACGGGGAGCACACTCGTCAACTCTCTGTCAAGAGGCACTCCGTCTTTGGGAAGCTCATCACCTTCCTGGTGTCAAGAATAAGGTGGTGGACCAGCTCAGCAGGGACACTGCAGCTGATAACTGCACTTTCACTTTCTGTGTACTTCGCAGCTGCAAAGTCAAAAATTGTCTAGAGATCACAAGACAACAAATATGCTGAATTTAGAGTTTTGCCACATCACCACCATGCAACGAATTAAACAGAAACATGAAAATTTCAGTTGCCAACTGGTTCTTCTACTTAAAAAGACAATACCTATAACCAGACCTCAGCAGGATTACAATCCACAAGATTTACCATATGCACTTTGCATCTGGATTTTGTTCCCTGACAATGACATTTTGAAAATTGTTTCATTAGCACAATATCTGTAGACAGATCCCAAAGTAAAACAGGAAAGGAGGCGTACGTATTGGAGGCCTGTTCCAAAGCCCAAACTTTTATTCTTCCATTGTTTTGCCAATCTTTTTTTCCTGTTCAGGAGGAACAACATATGCCCCTATTTCTGTGAATATCAGTTAATACAAGGCTCCAAAGAAAATCATAAAGGAAAGATAACATGAAACAAAAATAAACTATCAGAAAATCCAGTGGGGGAATGACGTTAATTGTCAGGGAAGATAATAAGGAACGTTCTTTTGCTTTCTGGCTGTAGTTGTTCATCAGTCAAAAACTACTGTATCTTACATGGAAATCTTAGTTATAAATTTAGAAATGGGAAAGGCCAACTATATTTGTATGTCCTATTTTTAACCCTTTGCATCTTATTTCTTCCCACTGTATAATACAGAATCTGGTGAAGTTTGCCTCCATCCACATACAGTTAACCTGTAATTAATTTTAAACAGTTTAAGCAGTTCAGAATCAAATTATGTCTAGCTTCCACAATATACATGTCAACAAATGCCAGCATAGCATGTATTTAACTGGTGGTTGACAAACTATGAGATGTTTTATTCCAAATGTAAAAAGTGGGTCATTTTTCACAGTGTCTTATTTGACAGCTCTTTATCGTAGAGTTTTTAAACTCTAAGAAAAAAAAACTTCTACATGTGAGGAAACCCGAAAATATTCAGAGCAATAAGCTCATTCCTTACTAAAAATTAGGGGAAATAATGGCGGTGTAAGAAGATTTGGAAAGAAAGTATAGCTGCAAACCTAAACATGGCATGGCAACCAGTGATTCTATAACTTAAACCCCCCTCGTGAAAGGTCGCTTCTTCCACAAGTACCCAGAAAAAATGAGTCAATAAGTCATCACACACACAAAACCATCATGATTATTTCCTCCTCTGTACTTCCCAGTGCATCCTGTCTGCTTTGAACCATCTTGTCTAGATTTGGCGTGAGTGTCTGTATTGTGT